GTGTGCGCCTGAGCGCCATCAAAAGGAAATGATAGCGGTTTCTCTGCCGTTGGCCACCCTCTTTCCGTAAAGGAAAGGAGGCGGCAGCGTAAGCACGGAGGCGGAATATATATATATATATATATATATATCAAGAAGTGGAAGTTAAATAGTTTACAGTATTCTGTGGTTGTCCTTTATTCGGTTACTTATGATTTGTATGGTGGTGATGAGCTGACTTGTGCAGGAACGCCGCCCTGACACACAGAGATGCCTACCACATTTGTTTTTGCTTTTTTGTTTGTTTGTTTCCTTGTACGAGCGGCGTTTCCTCACGCGCAGGCCTCTTTTGCTGAGGCGAAGCGACAGGCGTGTGCACGGAGGCGGCGCAGGCAGGGTGAGCAGTGCTCCCAATATCGGCCGTGGGAGCTCCCAGGAGTGGGGGGTGCGGTGAGGGGGGTGGGTGCACGGAGCAACGGGGCCACGGTGTGGCCACCGACGGGGCCGCCTTCTCACCCCACGCTTTTTCCGGCGTTGGTGTCTACCCCGCGGCTGGATGCGGAGAAGAGGAAGAGCAACGTTGCGTGTGGCATGCCATTTGTAGAGGATGTTCGCGTCTTTGCGTCGGACTGGGTGACGCTGACGATTCAGCAGCGGCGGAAGGCGCCCCTGTGCGTCGTGGAGCTTCCCCCTTAAAACCCACGTGCCTCTTGGACTGTCCTCGTCGCTGGTGGTGCCAGCGTGTGTGGCTGCGACGGTGGCGGTGTGTGGTGATCGCAGGGCCGTCATTGCCTTCTGCAACTGTGCTTTTTTTTTGTCTTGTTTTTGTTTTGGCACGTCGTCGACGTCACATCACGCGCGGGTGTGAAACGCCGCGCATCTGAGCCGCTACTGCAAAGCTTTGCAGCTTGGCTGGAGAACACACACGCTACGGCAAGAAGAAACTACAAGGAGAGAAAGGAGAAACAAAAGAAAAAGAGGAAACAAAAACAAGTGACGGTATTATAGGGAGAAGGCAAAGCTGATGTCCGCCGTCATTGGCATCGACCTTGGCACGACGTACTCGTGCGTGGGCGTCTTTAAGAACGATCAGGTGGAGATCATTGCGAATGACCAGGGCAACCGCACGACGCCGTCGTATGTGGCGTTCACCGACACGGAGCGTCTGGTCGGCGATGCGGCGAAGAACCAGGTGGCGATGAACCCGACGAACACCGTCTTCGACGTGAAGCGCATGATCGGCCGCAAGTTCGACGACCCCGATCTGCAGTCGGACATGAAGCACTGGCCCTTCAAGGTGACGGTGCGGGAGGAGAAGCCGGTGGTGCAGGTGGAGTTCCAGGGCGAGACCAAGACGTTCTTCCCCGAGGAAATTAGCGCCATGGTGCTGGCGAAGATGAAGGAGACGGCGGAGTCGTACCTGGGCGAGACGGTGAAGAAGGCTGTCATCACGGTGCCCGCGTACTTCAACAATGCGCAGCGGCAGGCGACGAAGGACGCCGGCACAATTGCGGGGATGGAGGTGCTGCGCATCATCAACGAGCCGACGGCAGCCGCCATTGCGTACGGCATGGACAAGAAGGCGGAAAAGGGCGAGAAGGTGGTGCTCATCTTTGACCTTGGCGGCGGCACGTTTGACGTCACCCTGCTGACGATCGACGGCGGCATCTTTGAGGTGAAGGCGACGAACGGCGACACGCACCTGGGCGGCGAGGACTTTGACAACCGCCTTGTGGATTACTTTGCGACGGAGTTCAAGACACGGTTTGGAAAGGACCTTCGCAGCAACGCGCGGGCTGTGCGGCGCCTGCGTACGGCGTGCGAGCGTGTCAAGCGGACGCTCTCAAGCTCCGCAAATGCCAGCATTGAGATCGATGCGCTGTATGAGGGGTGTGACCTGTTCTCGAAGATTACCCGTGCCCGCTTTGAGGAGATGTGCCGCGACCAGTTCGAGCGCTGCCTGGAGCCCGTGAAGAAGGTTCTGCTGGATTCCGAAATGACGCCGCAAGATGTGCACGACGTCGTCCTCGTTGGTGGTTCCACCCGCATTCCCCGCATTCAGCAGCTCGTGCAAAACTACTTTGGGGGCAAGGAGCTGAATCGATCGATCAACCCCGACGAGGCGGTAGCATACGGCGCGGCGGTGCAGGCGCACATTCTCGCAGGTGGGCGCTCAGACAAGACGGAGGGCCTGCTCCTCCTCGACGTCACCCCGCTTTCGCTGGGCGTGGAGACGGCTGGCGGGGTGATGTCTGTTCTTATCCCGCGCAATACGACGGTGCCCACCCAGCAGTCGCAGACCTTCTCCACGAATGCGGACAACCAGCGCAGCGTGGAAATTAAGGTGTACGAAGGGGAGCGCCCGCTTGTGTCGCAGTGCCAGTGCCTTGGCACCTTCACCCTCAGCGATATTCCGCCCGCGCCGCGCGGCAAGCCACGCATCAAGGTTTCGTTTGACGTGAACACGGATGGCATCCTCGTCGTAAGCGCGGTGGAAGAGTTGGGCGGAAAGACGCACGCGATCACCATCACCAACGACAGGGGCCGCCTGTCCAAGAACCAGATCGAGAAGATGGTGAAGGAGGCGGAGCAGTTTGCCAACGAGGACCGGCTGAATGCAGAGCGCATTGAGGCCCACAACGCGCTGGAGAACTACACGTTTTCGCTGCGCGCGACTCTGAGTGATCCGGAGGTGGAGGCCGGTATCTCCTCGGCGGACCGGCAACAGATTCAGGCCGCCGTGAACACTGCCGCGGCGTGGCTTGAGGAGAACCCTGAAGCCACGAAGGAGGAGTACGACGCGAAGACGAAGGAGATTGAGCAGGTGGTGCACCCCATCCTCTCCGCGTTCTACATGAAGCGAACGATGGAGCGGCCGCACGAGCCATCCGCTTCGGCGGCCGCGCCGGGGGAGGAGGACGGGGCATCCGCGCCGCCGCCGCCCACTGACGTGGACTGATTGCCCGCATACGCAACCAGCGCGAGCGAAATAAGGTACGCCTGCGTACGCGCGCACAGACACACACACACACACACGCACACGTATATATTTATATAATTATTTATTTATCACAGCGTGAGGAAAATTGGGTCACAGGGCGCGAAACAAACGAGGCGGAAGAAACGAGAACTGGAAAGCGTGAGTGGGGGGTGAACAAATAATGTTACTAAGGAGCAGAGAGTGAGGGAGCAAAAAAGGAGCAGGTGAAGCGAAGGAAAGGAAGATTGCGCGAGTGGGGTGGAAATACTCTTTTTTTTTGTTTTTGTTTGGTGGTGGTACGGTGCGGAGGCCGGCGGGGAAGTGAGAGCGAGGAACTATTGCTGCCGGAGCCGCCGCGGAGAGGCGAGACCGTCCCACACGCACAGTGAAAAGCGGCGTGCGGCTGAATGGGCCGCCTGACGAGACTCGGAATAGAGCCAAGAGGGGCGCAGCAGTCTGACGGAAAGAAGGAGAAAATGTTAGCCCCTAAGCAATAGAAGAGAAGTGGAGAATGTCGCACAGGGCGGGGAGCGGGCTGAGGCGGCACGATGGGGCAGTGCATGTCTGCATGCAAGGTATGGACGTGTGCCTGCTTCCTCACATGTATGCATGTTCTTTGTTTTTTCTTCTCTTTTTTTTCCGTTTTATGTGTTATTAACGCAATTAGATAGTCCCGGGTGGTTAAACACGAGGCCGCACTGGCACGGGAGTGGTGCGTCGGAGTTTGCGTGCGTGCGTGCGTGTTTACCTAACTTGGTTGGATTGAGGAGATAGAAATATAGCAATCAAAGTAAGTCGGAGGAAGTCTCTCTGGTGGTGGTAGTAGGGAAGCCGCATAATTAGGGTTCCGTAGTTATTTTAACAAAGCAAGGAAGGAGGGCTGTTTTTTTTGTTTGTTTGTTTGTTTTGTTTTGTT